TTTAGGCCTGCGAACCTCCAACGGAAATTCAAAGCTACGCCTGTAGGCAGAGCGGGAAGAGGGAGAAGTTTGATCATCTTGAAGACCTTCCAGAAGGGATGGTCGGAATCTTAATAAGTAGGTCGATGTGTCTTCAAGTACAATAACTCCAATAACTGATTTAGGTTTCGTGCTTGACGCTCTGGGCCTGTACCGCGACGAACTCCTGCGGACCCCAAATGAACATAAGCAAAATCCAAACAGGCATGTATATTCTCGAGAGACCTTCATGTGCACTAGAGTTTAGGTGGTGGATGTCCCTAGAAGAAGAGGACGACGCTCGCGAGAAATTTTTTAACAAGCTCTCGGAGGCAAGAGTGGATTGGAGCGGCCGTGCAAGAATAGCAATTGGGAGAGCACTGTGAGTTCTCACAAGTTAAAAGAAGCGATACTTCTGAGCTATAATTTTACAGGACAGACATTCGAACATATCATTTTGACCCTGAAAGATCCGCTCTTCTTCCATCAAAGGTGATTCACTTGTCTTATGTGATCCTGGTATTGATAAATTTGGTTTTCAGAAAAAGCGTGTTGTCATCGAAGACACTGGAGGCAACGGTATCGGTATCACTAAGGAAGACGTGGTAATTCAAAAGACCGAATGCGTAGAAGATAAGTCGAGGACATCGAGGAAGCCTGATGCGTTGTCTACATTTTTGTTGTAGTTGTTCGTAACCTGCTTCGAATCTGTGTTATTTGATAATAAATTTTACAACGTAAGACTGGGTTTTACTAGCAGAAAGTTACAAGCGTGAAAAATGGGACCCAAAGAGACCAAGGACTCAAGGTAAGTGAAAAAAGAGGCGTGAGAGAGCACACAGAGGACGCAAAAACCTATCAATAAGGGCGTAGGCCGCCTGCTCTGAACGCGATCGGAACATTATGGTGTCTCCCGCAGGTGTCCCGATTTTGTTCGGAATGTGTCCGTCGGGACACCTAATTTTATCGCGCAGTTTTGTCCCGAAACAAAATCAGGTACCCTGATTTTGTCCCGACACCGATTTCGGGAGTCGCGCAGGCATTCCGTGACGACATCTCATTTTGTCCTGCGGGACTCAATGGCGAATGTCTGAGGAGCTGAAACTTTGGTCTCCACAGAATGTAAAAAGATTTGGCTTCAAAAATTTTGAAGGGGATTCTGAAACATGTTGATTAATTAGTTTATGTTGATAAAAAAATGATAATATTAGGTGGGTGCAAAAGTTCGTTCGCCAGATTTTCAAAAAATCATAACTTCCTTCCTTCTCTGTGGAATTTCTCGATTTGATCTTTATTCGAAAGGAGAAGCCTCCCTCTTTACAAAGGTACCTTTGCCATGAAGTGGTATTGGAAAGTTCGAGAGCTATAGACAATTGCAGGAAATTAGTCAAGATCTACATTTTTCAAGCTGGATCACGAAAAATTCTGGAAGTATTTTTATTTGATAGAGAAAATTCTGCACATTACAGTGGCACCTTTTTCATGAATTAAAACCGAGTAGATTGAGAGTTAGAAGCAAATAAAGAGAATTTCTTCACTTTTGCAATTTTTGAGCATGCTCAAAAAAGTTTGAAAGCGTCACAGAAAAAGCGAAAAAGTCATAAACATGGGTTTTGCGATTTACCCTTTTTAGCTGAGTGAGTTTCGAGCTGATCGAGAGCAATTTTGATTTTCGTGAAAAACGCAGTCCCGAAAATCCGAAAAAATCACGAAAATCAAAATTGCTCCCGATTGGCACGATTTTTGCTCAGCTAGAAAGGGGAGGTTGCTAAACCCATGCTTATGACTTTTTCGACTTTTCTGTGACGTTTTCAAGCTTTTTTGAGCATGCTCAAAAATTGCAAAAGTGAAGAAATTCTCTTTATTTGCTTCTAACTCTCGATCTACTCGGTTTTAATTCATGAAAAAGGTACCACTGTAATGTGCAGAATTTTCTCTATCAAATAAAAATACTTTCAGAATTTTCGTGATCCAGCTTGAAAAATGTCGATCTTGACTAATTTCCTGCAATTGCCTATAGCTCTCGAACTTTTTGATACCTATTCATGGCAAAGGTACCGTTGTAAAGAGGGAGGCTTCTTCTTTCGAATAAATATAAAATCGAGAAATTCCACAGAGAAGGAAGGAAGTCATGATTTTTTGAAAATCTGGCGAACGAACTTTTGCACCCACCTAATATATTCGGGGGTTTATTTTCTCCAAACAACAAGTATATTATTGACGGCGTGTACCTCATGCCTCAGCATGTTTCATTCGTCCGTATATACCCTAAATATTCGGTGTTCTATTAGAGGCATTGTTACTACAGACATCAAACAGCGGGATTTTTTTTTGCAAGCAATCCAGCTAACTGATTTGCCATCTTCTCCTCAATGAAAATCTGATCCCCTTAACTGTAACCCAGTCTCAACCATTCTAAACTAATGCTCCACCTCTGCTTTGCAAGGGTGATCATTGCCATTATCTATCTATTACAAATATATATATAAAACTTATAAATTGTCTGTTTGAAGGGTATGTGAGCTATAGAAACGCACGCCGCTCGACCGATTGGGCTAAAACTTTGCACACAGACGTTCCTGACCCCGGAGACGGTTTTAGGATACTTTTTACTAAAATTTGCTGGGTGGTTTTGTCGATTTTTGTTGATTTGTTTACGTTTTTCTTAGGAATTAAAAGCTTATCATGTTCAATCAAGCATTTTCCTATAATCATGTAAAGAAGGGCGGTGAAGCTCATTTTCACCTCAGGATTACGAGATGCGGTTTCGAAGCGGATGTCCCAGGGTAAGTCATCCATAAAATGTAAGTGGAGTAGGAGTTCGCATTGCAAGTGACCAATGGCCCGGGCTGAACCGGGAAAGCCAACTAGTATATACAGGGTGTCCCAAAAAAATGTGCACACTGTTTGATTGTAAATAACTCTTTTGTGGTAAAGTGTTTCGAAAAGCTTTAGGTACCATTTTGTAAAGCGAGGTTCAACTTAGGTTTACAGTGTAGAGCGGATCGCCGATCTCTCATTCTTACTGTAGGATTACGGTGGAAACTTCAAAGAGGGATTTGAGCCATGAAAGGCCATGTTTTGTTCCAAAAAAACCAAAACAATCTGAAAATTCTCACACTGAGCTAACTGGAGTTGCTGATTTCAAATGTGAAGTTTGCAACTTTGCGTAATGCTTCATTAAACAATTATGCGAGGTATGCAGTAGCAGGCGTTTTTTTTTAAGTGTTCCTAAAAAGTGCGGTTATACCGTTTAAGAAGCTTCTAAACCCTGTAAAGAGTTAGGTATTGAACTTAGGGTCCATAAAAACCCTATTACACAAATTTCCACATTCTTTTGAAAATTTTTGAAACGGCCGCTTTTTTCACAGTGCCACCATATGTTTGAAGTTTCTACCGTACTCCTACTCCTAAGAATGGGCGATCGGCGATCCGTTCTATACTGTAAATCTAAGTTGAACCTCGCTCTACAAAATGGTACCTAAAGCTTCTCGAAACACTTCACTACAAGAGAGTTATTTACAATCAAACAGTGTGCACATTTTTTGGGACACCCTGTATATAAAAGTCAAAATTTGTGCAACTCTTGACCGTATGTTTTTTAAAGACTCCTTTGCGCGTGAACCGATTGAGCTGAAATTCTGCACATATATGTCTTCGATCCTGTAGATGGTTTTAGGCTACCTTTTGGCGCGATTCGCTGGATCCTCTATTGATGTATTGATTTCGGCACTTTGCAATGAAAGTGAAGTCTTATCAACCACTATCATACCCCATGCACATTTTGATGTAAACAATAGCAGAGAGCTCATTTTAAGTTCTAGCAAGAAGAACGCGACAGGGTTGACTGGTTACCAAGCTTTCAAATAAGTTCTTGATGACCATCTCGCACATGTGGAAATGCATCGCTTCATGAGAGTTCGCTGTTTGAGAAATTTGCCCATATAAGCTGTCAAAGCGAAACTTTTGAAGGGCTTCCAAGTGCAGAAATTAGACAATTAAGATAAGGCTATTAATTTCTGGATTAGAATTTTGAATACCACTTAAAATGCCATGTATGTAGTTTCCATAATTGATTAAAATCTTGGAAACAACCTATAACAGCTGGGCAAAGCGTGTACAGCGGCTAGCTAACAATGTAAGTGTCTGCAAGAGTTGTGCGGATTGCAAAAAAACTTTAAATGCAATCGCAAGCAGCACCAGGTTCAAATGCTGGGACTTGAAAGACTTGGCTAAGTGAAGTGAAGCATCAAGTCCTGCTGAGAATTTACAAGTAGCGTCTCCCTCCGCTTTCACTTATAAGCGCGAGTCCCGCCGGTAACGGCGTTGCGACAATATTGGGACTCGAGCAATATTACTCCCTATTTTTGCGTTTACTTGTGTCCCACAGTCATTCTGTCTGGACAAGCGAATTTTAGGGCGAGAGCTGATCGCGAATGTCTGACAAGGGAAGGATACCTGGTCGAAGTAGTTTCTATAGAAATTTTATTGTTTTATAAAGCATGGAACGCTGATTCCAAGTCTCTTTCGCTATCTGCAAAGCACTCATTGGAGGCATGAGGGAATTTTTTGAGGCAAAGTTTAAGGGTTAGGGCAGAAACAGATGCTGAGATTTTTTTCTGCGCAAAAGCATGACTAGCATAAGTTTCTAGACTGGTATTAATCGCATAAAGCTTCTTGGTAGTAAACGTGGCCACATTTGAGCTCACATTTTTAATGTAGCCGCGCGTTCAAATTTTTGCTTTAGTTCCCACAACTCCTCTCATAGAAGCACTTTGCAGATAGCAAAAGCAGATTTGGAATCAGCGTTCCGTGCTCTGTAGGAATACTGAAAACGCCACTTCGACCATGTATCCTTCCTAGTGAGATATCAACCGAAACAAAGACTATCAAAAATGGGTATGGTAGTCGCCTGTTTTGCTATAGCCTGCGATAAACACCACTGACTCCAAGAACTTGTGCTTTCCATTTTGTTGAATGCAATGAAGAAAGCTGGCGCCGCTTCGTACGATGCATACAGTCGCATCACAACTCTCGTTGATGATACCGTAAGCAGTGCCAGAAGGTTACTACAATCGCTCGGAAACGAAGGTACATTGCAGCGATTTTTATATCCGGCTGTAATAGCTTTATTAAGAAGAATGTAACGACTACGAATCTGATGCGCAGCAGCAAATCATCACTCAAGCTAGATTTGCAGATCGGACAGCATCTAAAACCATATCCAATGTAAACCAGATGTAGGCGAGCATTTTTAAGAGACTGAGTTATGTTCATTCAGGCTTTGCCCTTGCTCGGGCTCCGATCTATTCACGATATATACCGTTCCCTTGACAAAAAGAAGATTATGGTTACTCGGACATACCAAGCTAAGCAAGAGATAAGCGATGATTTGGCCAAGGAATTGGAAATGTAGATAATTGCACACTTTTCTAAGGTTGGCCAAACCTTACCGTTATTACCGCTGTTGTCGTTGCTGCTGTTAGTGCGGTTGTTGCTGTTATATATTCCATCATGCAGCAGCAGTAACAGCTAACAAGGGAATGGTTGGGAGTCGAAGTGGCAAATCCGAATAAGCTGCATACCATTCGATGCAGCATAGAATGCTGATTTCAAATCTGTCTTTTATCTCTGTAGAACGCCTTTGTAGGAGAAGTTATATACAACTTTACGACAAAAAACTGTGCACAGAAAATTGCGCAAATGATATTATTGCCCTTTTGCTCACCTGTAGTACGCGCCATCTGAGGTGACCTAGTTGCATGGTTTGGAAGAGCACTGAGCCGAGAATGGCAGCGAAATAATGGCCTTTAACGACTTTAATTCCATTCACGAAAGTGTTCTGCAGACAAAAGGAAGACAGACTTAGCGAGTTTTATGCTGCATCTAATGGTATGCAGCTCGCCTAAACTGGCCACTTCAGTTTCTGGCCATTCCCTTGTAAGCAGAAACAGCAATTACAGGAGTTACAGCGGTAACAGCGTTGACAGCCAGCGATAGCAGTGATGATAATGATGACAGAGGTAACAACGGCATTGTATGGCTGAACCCTTGACGGAGAAGAAAGAAATCACTCGAAGTAGCCATATGAGGAGCAATGTATGCTAATACTTTTTTGGACTTCAAAACCATTGTCTTTCTTCGGCGGAGAACAGCGTAGAAATTTGGGACGCTTCCCATAAAAATGGCTTGCATTCTATCACAGCGCTGTAAGAAATCAAGCAGTAGTCCGTGTTACCGTGAGTGTACAACTTCTGTTAATAATTGAATAATTTTCAAAAAAAATTTAGCCTTACACAAAAAATCTTCGGGAGCGTGGCTAAAGTCACGTCCCCCCTTTTTGGAGTTTAGGGGTTATGGGCCCATATGGCCACTTGGCGAAATATTCTTTCTTTGCTGGTCTTTCCAAGTTTCACTCGTAACCCTTAACATTTGAGATTGGAGAAGCCATCAATACAGCCAACCGTGAGAGGAGAAAACGTGATTCGTGTCTGAAATTAACGAAAACTTCGAATAAACCTTTAATTGTTCAATGAACGCAGCGCATTTCCTCATTGATCATTCATAAGATTCCTAAAAACAGGTACCGTGCTCACAGCAAACAGTATTGGTGGTAAGTAAAAATTACTGTAAGCTCCTTCAAAAAACACCTAAGCGTTATATATGTAACCAATCCATGATGACTGTTGAATTGGCGCTCTGCTGTTTAACAGTATTTATGGGTTGATTTAATTGATTTTATATTTCCGAATGTAGCGAACTCTGGGTGACGTAATCCCATCATCCACTTCGTTTCTGACTTCCAAAAAGTCAGAGTCAGTAAAACAGAATATAAACAAAGTTTGATAGGGTGGGAAAGATGCTATTAGGGCGAACACTGCCCAGAGTAGTATTAAGGTGCCATTAGGACTGAGGGCATGCCCGGGTAGATTTGGGAGCACCTTTGACTCAACAGACTACTGAAGCGGGTTCCCTATTGTTGTGGAACGCGTAGAGCCGTTGACGATTTAATTAGAAAAACACAAGAGTTCCCCTCTACCTATCGGCGTACATGTCGAGGGTTCACTAGGAGTAACTAGAGAACAACACACACAAATATATCAAGGCGCGGCGGGTACGCCGCAACCACAGAGACCGTATCGACCTAGCCTATAGTGAGTGAGCAAGTTCCGATATAAGGGACGGCTCTACAACACCTCCCTCCTAAGATGAACAACGGTACATCTTATAACAAGGATCTACTTGTAGGCGTTCTGGTGGGCGACGTGGCAACTTGGTCGGGTTGATGTCGGTGGCGTAGACGAGGTGGGTTGGTGTTCAGCAACATCCATACCATTGTTGCGTCAGCCTTCGTCGGGGATGGACTTTGTTGAGTCATGATGGCGATCCATACTTGCTGCGCGGCGCATCTGGTTCGCATGTCGTCTCCATAACTGACCGTCTTCCGTAAGCACGCCATAAAGCGCTTCTCCATATCGTTTCTTCACTCGTGCTGGAATCCATTTTTCACATCCAGAGAAAAAATCACGTACCCACACGGCTTCTTGTGGCTGGTACGATTTCTTTCGTGTTCTGTGACGGCGGTTGAACTGCTTCTCCAAAGATTTATTGCCCACTCCTTCTTCTTTGGAGTCTTCATTAAGCAGCGACAGTGGTGTCCTTATCTGACCTAGGAGCAGCTCGGCAGGCGAACGTTGTCCTGGAGCAGTTGTACAAGGCGTCCGTCGATAAGACTGCAGATCCGCAAGCTTCTCTGCCGTTCCTCCCTTCTTAATTTTCTGGAAGGTCCTTTTGAAGATATCCACAAACCTCTCCGCTTGTCCATTTGATTGCGGATGGAATGGTGGTGAACGCATATGCTTGATTCCTCTCTCTTCGCAGAAGTCTTGAAACTCCCTTGTTGTGAACTGAGTCCCATTATCCGACACGATCACTTGTGGATTTCCAAATCGAGCGAATAGAGATCTGAGTTCTCTCAGGGTAGCTGTAGTTGACGATGAAGGCATCTTAAATACTTCTGGCCATTTCGAGTAAGAGTCAACTACGACGAGATACATCTTGCCATTCAGCGGCCCTGCATAATCAATATAAAGTCGATTTCATGGTTTCTGTTCCATTTTCCATGAATGCAGTATAGTCTTCACTGGCATCTTGGCTGCTTCTTGACATGCCCTACAGCGGCGCACTGAGTCCTTGATGTCTCTGTTGATGCCCTTAGGCCACGACTTAATCGTCGCGATCTAATCGCCAAGATTTCCATTCATTTTCATTTCACATTCAAAAATTTCGGTCTGGAAAAGTATCACAACCGAATGCAAGTTGATCGGCATGGAATGATGTTGTAACAGTTGTCTCGTCGCGACTCAGTCGCGACGATCAAATCGCGTGAAGTCTGCCCGGGGCCTTACTCTTCGTGCATTTTCCTAGGTCGCTGTTGAAGACTTCCCCATGCTTCTTCTTCAAGTCGGCGACCACTTCGGCTCGAATTTTCTCTTCGCTAGTCACCTTTCTGCAATGGAAGTTGCTCTTCAGCTTTTTGTATGCCGGCAGCTGGATGCACCATTCCAGTCCTAGTAGATTCGAGCCTTCGGTGACGTAGCATGTGCCATTTCCATGAAGCATCTTCCCTGTAACTCGATCTCTGACGGAAAAATCGGTTGAGAATTTACCATATATCTTCATCATCGACGTCCCGCCTGCAGTTTTCACGGGCATCACACAGGGTTCCAGAGCCGGGGATCCCATCCTCTTCCAAGCTCTGCGTGATATCAGCGTTATATCTGCACCTGTGTCCAGCTGAAATTTGAGATTACATCCTTTAACTACGACGTCGAGGTAGGTCCGCGCGCTCTCGGCGTCGAAAGCGACCATATGTTTACACTGTCTTCTGCGGCCAAACTGCGCTCCTGTCTTCCGTCGCATCTTCCGATTAGTGCTGGCAGATTGTGGGCAGTCTTTTCTGAAATGTGGTCCTCCGCACGTGAAACAAGTTACCTTCTTCTTCCACACTGCATGGATGTCGCGCGTGCCTTCCATGTCCGTGTTATCCATTTTCAAAGCAGTGAAATTCTCACATTCCGCAACTAGGTCCTCGATTGTCAACGGTGCTTCGTCCGTGTGAGCGTCCAATCGACGAATCATCCGAAGGCGCACTTCTCTAAAATAGGGATCTTGAAGACCAGCTACAAATTGCAGCGTCTTCATTGCCGTGTAGTCGACCTCCTTAAGCCGGGCATCCTCGTCTATCCGCCTGATGGTATTGGCGTACTCGCGAAATGGTACGTACGCTGGAGTAAGCGGAGGGCAGGTTATCCTCAGGCACTCATACCGTCTCCTGATGAGCGTCTTCTTGGAGGCGAACAGCTTCTGGAGATTCGCGAGTATCGAAGTCCAAGTCGCTTGGTTGCGCAGGCAAAACCTCGTCTGCCCACTTCCGGTATGATTCTTCATCCAGCTTCATGAGGATCAAGTCGCGCTTCTTCTGATCCGGAAGCTGGAAGTCGCGTATGACCGATCCGTACCTGCCATACCAGTACGCAAAGGTGTTACCTGTTTCTTCGTCTGAGACGAATCTTCGCACGTCCTTGCTCAGCTGATCGTACTGATCCTTGCTGGCTTCTTGGACGGCTCCCTGATTACTGGCTAGAGCGGAGATCAGCGTCCTCATTTGCTCTTGCTGAGCTTGCAGCTGCATCTGCACTTGTTCTTACTGGGCTTGTATCTGGATCCGAACTTCTTCTTGTTGAAGCCGCATCTGCTCCATCATGACGTTGAGGACCTTCTCCAGATCCGCATGCCGTTCTTCTGCGACCTTCGGCATGGCTCCGCAGCTACAACGAGATTTCTTCCCTCTCGTCGATCGATTCCTCAAATAGAACTTATCTGGAGAAGTTGTCCTTGAAGTTGATTGCAAACTTTTTCTTCTCCTTGGTCGGCGATGGAGCTTCTTCTCGTCCTCGGTTGGTGGTGGAGTTCTTCTTGTCCTTGATCCTAATCGCCAGTTGTTGTGGAACGCGTTGAGCCGTTGACGATTTATTAGAAAAACACAAGAGTTCCCCTCTACCTATCGGCGTACATGTCGAGGGTTCACTAGGAATAACTAGAGAACAACACACACAAATATATCAAGGCGCGGCGGGTACGCCGCAACCACAGAGACCATATCGACCTAGCCTATAGTGAGTGAGCAAGTTTCGATATAAGGGACGGCTCTACAACACCTATACAAGCCATAGTCCGGTTTCGACTGCAGAATATTGCTTCAGAAGTTTAACTATAGACTCTCTTCCCTAAATACACTCTCGTCTTTACCGAGACAGAAAAATGTGGCGAAAAAGGCCTCTGCAACCAATGACGCATCGCAACGCCGTCCAGCACAATTTCCTGCTGCGGTAGCGACGAGAGTGAATCGAGGATCTTCTTTGTTTGGATTTCTGAAGCGACTTGTTTGAATCAGAAGTAATATTTTGCATCGCAATGGGTTATGGCTTGAAGGAGGAGCCCGCTTCAGTCTCATGTTGGTATCTACTAAAGTGCTCCCAAAACTGCTCATTCAGAATTTTGTTCGGACGCTGCCAAAAAAGGCAGCGTCCGAACAAAATTTTGAATGAGAGTTTTTGCTTACCTGGGCTTGTCCTTCCCTCTGAGCCCAAAAATGGCTTGGGAGCACACAAAAGTTGAAAACGGGCTATTTTAAAAGCCTTTGATTTTGAAGTAAGAGTCTGCCGCCAGGATAAGAAGCAGAGTCGCTGGACCCTAACTGTGTGCGATATGCGCACTCTGGCTTGTCGATTAGGGAGTTTCAGTCACCAAGGCGGGTCCGGTCACCAGTCTCTCCTCAAAATAGGGCCCAACGCGAATCTAATGGAAGCAGGTTAAACTTCGTTGTTGGGGGTAAAAAGCAAAGGAGATAGTGTTTTTGTGGCCAAAAATTGCGACGTTTTTTTAGTCGACGTTTCTTTGAGGGCTTTTTACGTTTAGGGCTGAGAGTCAAAGGGAACTATGTAAAAGTTCGCAAAAGTCAAGCGGAACTTCGTTTCCAAGAAGCTTGAACGAACTCATGCCGGGGCTTTGTACTTTTCATTTTTGACCGGACGCTGCCTTTAAGTGTTGATCTATGCATACCATTTAAGCGTTATTTTGGGAGCCATTGACTGGCAGTGTAGGCTAAGCACACTGGCCAATCCAAATTTGTCGAATACCGGTTTGTGGCACAAAATCAACATAAATATGAGGTGGTAGAGCGTTCACAAGATGCTTTTAATAATTGAATTATTTAAGAAACGTCAGTAAAATTGCTGGTTTTATCATCACGTTAGTACAGTATGGGAAGCGGCTTGCATAACTGTAAAGGTTTGTGCTTGTCCCAGGCCTTTCTAACAAGGGATCGATACTCGATCCGTGGGCCTTTTAAAGGCAAATCTCAACCTAGTCAAATTTTCGCTTACTTGGGGTTATTTAATATGCTGATCCCGAAAATCCATTTCTGCGGGCTTGAAAACGGCGAAAACGAGCGTTTTTCAATGCCCTTTCCTTCGGAATTGGACGAGTCTAGCAAGGCTGATGATGCTGGATCGTTGCGGGACCCAATGGTTATAGCATTGTGGCGGGCAGCCTCCAATGGTGAGGAGGAAATTGCCAACTCGTCCGGGAGCGTGTAAGATTGGCCTGCGCGTGTAAGTTTGAGAGCCATTTTCTCGGCAGGGAAGGCATGCTGTGCAACCAGGATTGCACTGTTTTCATAATTGGGCGATAAGGAAACTATCGCCTTAAATCCTGAGTTGTTGAATTTTGCCGATCCACTGCCTTTAAGATGATACATATACCACACACGACTTGAAACGCTAATTCCAAATTTGACTCCCGATCCTGGTTAACCGTCTAAGTAAAATACTTTCGGAACGCTAATCCAGCGTAACGCTGTGGTGTAATAACTCGTGCAATAGTCTCGCAAGTTGATGTAGGTATAGGTTTGAACCCTTTTGTGTTTTTCTTTTGCATTGCCTCATTTGACCTTCTTTTTGGAAGTTAGGCATCCTCGAAATAAATGCATTCCTTACTTAAGAAAAACGTGGTGGAAAATTAAAAAAATGAATTGAAAATATTAGGGTGATCGGTAAAAAATGGGGCAGCTTGATTTTTATTGAGAGATTTTGAGATTTTTTGTCCTCACCGATAATAAGCAGCCTGCAACGTAAACGTCGCTTATATAAGCTACGTTCGCCTATCATTCTGGCAAAGCGTCAACGCTCCTCTCCCACAATTAAACGCGTGGCGCCCTGAAGAACTCGAATAGGGTTTTTTGAACATCGCTCATTCTTGCGCTCCCATACCGTAAAGTTATAGAGCAGCTGATACACCATTCGAAAGAGCTCTTCATGCTCTTTCAAACAGTGTATGAAACGTAAAGGATTTCTTTCTATTTCAGGGTAAAAAAAGCGGAAATACCTGAAAAATCGCGATTTTTTGACGCAACAAAAACCAATAAATAAAATTTCCATCTGTTTTCCGAAGATAGAGAAAATGTGAGCTAAGCTGCATGTGGATGGATAGAGCGTAAAAAGCTCTTTTGGATGGTACCTAGAAAACATGCGTTCACCTGCAAAGAATTGAATAGCACGTATCTTTGTTCTCAAAGCTGCTAATGGCCATATCTCCTGAATTTGAAAGTTGAGGCCAGCAATCCATCATGGGTCTGGTGACTGTACCTTCACGCATTGCAGCGGCAGTACTTTGGATGGTTTCGCATGTTTTACTGCGCAGATACTGCCCGAAGTTTATAATTTCTCAAAGTGACTAACTTTGCATTTCAGCCACTATAAAAATTATTAGGTATGTAAATGACCTTATATAAGTATTTCTGAAAGAGAATAATTTATTCTAACATCTACCAAAATTGGGAAGTTTAATCGCTTTCCTTTATTGAGAAATCTACATTTATTCTCTAGGTGCCCCATTTTTTACCGATCACCCTAACAGTCAGAAATGGGAAAGCCAGATGCAACGACTTGCTCTTTATCCGGTGCGCTCATTGCGAGCAACTCTTGTGTTTAATCATTTTGTCACAGATTTGTCATAGATTTCTATCGCTGTGTTTAACATGCCTTCATTTTTCATTCATTTCCATTTTGAAAGCACCTTTTAGAATATATATAACACTCATTATGGAAACGACTCCTCGTTGAATTTTCAGAGTAGGGGCATTCCTTGGGGAGACGGTCAAGAGGCGCGATTTCTCTGGCTGTCACCAAGTTAAAACTCCAGTTTAGTGCTATGCGAGTCTTCAAAAATTACCGGATAAAATGCATTAGCTTACTATCTGTTTGAGGTCACCACTTGCTGAATTTCAATTTCAATTACGAATTTGTTCTGAAATGCATTTTCATGAGTTTTTGACCTTCAAAATTGCTCTTTTGAATTTTTTCTAGAGTATGATTGAACAAGTCATGCAGCTATCTAATATATCTTCTTCTAAATTTCATATACTTTCAGAGAGCTGCAAAACACTTATTATGTGCTTTTTGGTGTCCAGCTGGCAATAAAAATCGCGCCTCTTGACATACTTCAAAAATTAATTTGGTTAAAAGATATTTAGTTATTCCTTGGGGTTCTTTCAAAAAGATTTATTGAGAAAATGCACAAAAGGACTTGTGACTAACATACAACTATTTGTGAGGCTATGGCATTAACCACTCCACAACTTACCAGCAGTATTGGCGTTCCGACCATATTTTCAAACACTTGTGTGTCCAAACTTGGCGCAGAACTTCATAACTTCTTTTAGAGAAACGACTAGCCGAAATGGAAGTCATATTCGAATTAGCTTTTCAAGATGAGTTTACTTATTTATGTACATCACATCTCAAAAGGCCACAAATACCGGGTACCGTTCCCTTGTAAGCTTTTTGACATGTTTTTTTTAAGCAAATGGCAGTAAACTTTGAAAGAGAGAGCGCTTCACCTAGTTTCTACCTTTGGGATTTGTAAGAACGTAGGGACAATGAGTTGGCAAAGACGTTCATTTTTTTTACTTTATCGGCTTGACTTTGCGTATCCTTGTGCCTTCGCCATTTCTTGGATTTGTAATCCATCTTATTTCATTGAAGCGATATGTGCCGATATGTTTTACGCGATCACGTAGTTTTGCTAGCCACATCGTAGCTCTTTCGCTTGCACTTCACTCAAGTCTTTCTAACGTGATCGATCAGAATTCTATGTGCGAATGGCTCGCTTTGTAAACTGCAGAGGCTTGTCCATAGCGTTGCTATAACCGAAGGATCACTTCATGAATGGCCTAAATGCACGTGTGTTACCACCAGGGTCGAGAAAGAGGTCAGCCATGGGCTGGAAGAAATAAAACTCTCCCTCCCCCCCCCCCCCGCTCACCCTCCGTAGTGTTTTAAATCACAACCTTTTTCTCTTCCTTCAATTTTATTAGAACAGAAACCAAGAAAAGAACAATTTTTAACATCTCAGCGACAATTTCATACATAGGATATGAACTTAGCGTTTGGGGCCCTGCTGCGCCCTGCGCAGATGAAGTTCTTCGTGAAGTCATAGAACGCTCAAGATGAACTAGACATCACCCTGTTCGATTGGATGTTTTCGACGGCGTATTGAAAGAACCTTTCTAGTTTATTCAGCAGAGCCGTCAGATATCGAAGGTGGCATTCAAATTAGCGATAAACCCCATCGGATAGCATACATTGCTTTTCAAAACGTCGGGCGATTTATTTTCCGCCAGTGCGTCACCTCTGCTTCGCAGAGGCTTTGGTTCTAATCTACCTACATGCCTTACTCATCATGACTTATAATAAGCGGCTTAATCTGAAGTTGTGTGGAGTTTGTCCGTTACGAAATTACAGTGAGGAATGATTTACGATACTAAACATCATGTGAGGTTAAGATAGCGAGCATGGTTCATTTTTAACTACGGCTCACTTTGCAATAAACCGAACAATGATTTGAGAGACAAGCTCTCAGAAAGTGAGTTTACCACGGTTCAAGATGCCAGTGCGAACCTCTGCGAAGCAGAGGTGAAGCACTGGTCTCATATAAAGATGGCAATGAAACTGACCGCGCAATACTATCACGAATAAGTTGTATAGGTTGTCCGCGCTGCGCGCGGAGAGCAACGCTGTCGCGTCCAGTGAAGATAGTTGAGCGCAGAGAAAAACAGGCGGCGAGAGTGCACAGGGAAAGAGGAGTGACGCGCAATACACACCTTGCGCACTCTCCGCGCCCTGCGCGGACGGCCTATAAGCAACTACTCATTTCAAGGGTTTTTCTATGTGAGATTGGTGATTTCGCGTGGATGAAACTTTTCGCAGAAGAACAAATGCAAGTTTAAATTAGTTTCCAAGGTTCTTATGGCTTGGTATGGCTTGTTAATCTATATAAGTAGAATCACCGTAAGCTACACACTGTGCGAAGATTTTGTCGAACGCTTAGGTAAATGGCAAAATGACCACTTAAGCACCAATTTTTTGGCGCCTTTTCGTAAAGTAATGAAATTTTGATCAATTTCTTGGGTTAAAGTCCATGGTCTGCCCCTTAGCTTGTCGAACATATTCATGGCTTTGCAAGTGGCAATTTTGCTGCTAGAAGCCTTGTGGATCCGTTTGAGCGCAATTTTTGCGGGATCCATTCAATGGATCCGCCTCTGCTTTATGGTGAGGTTTTATTCCGGTAGCCCGTGCGCTTTGCAAAATTTGGGCTCAGGATTTTGGCTAGAATTCGCTCTATGAATTTCGTAAACGACAAACAACACACTGACACAACACAAAAAGACGTGAACTGTAAGTTACGATTTTTAGTGAGCTGTGGGAGGAGGTGTTAGATCCACTGAGTCCTCTAATAGGTTTTCGCGTTAATGTTCATGAGTGAAAGGCATCAAACCTTTACATGATGTAAGCCTCTCTTGCACAAAGAAGTAGGATTGATGACTGAAGCTGTGCTAAAGATGAGACACAGACACGTACTGCACGACCACCAACAGTAACGTTTTAACTTTATTTACAGCAGCAATGTTCAAGGTTGTGATTATGGACTATCTAAGGCTTTCTTTTAGGTCTTGTTTTTGCTGTGTCAAAGCAGGCTTTCTCTGAATCGTTGGTTTTGTAGAATCTGGGGCGTATGACGAATTCAACGAGATGGCAATGTGCAAATGAGCAGTCGCGCACATCACTTGTAACGTCTTTAGGCACATCCATAGTGTCGTCTTTGTAGAACACCTAAAAGTATAAACTTGCGAGAATGAGCTTGCATCAATATTCACCTTCACAAGCGGTTTACCGCTTCCTTGATACAATTCGATCATTATTAGAGGGTTATTTCTTGGAAGCGATTTACCAAGCGCAGAAGTTCCGCAACCAAGAGCGTGCAAAAAAGCTAACATAAGCCAGTTGTCCTTCAAATAATCAAAACACGATTACAAATGAGGAAGTTCAATGCTGTCGAACCGTCACATATGCTCTAAACTTCTTTCGAATCTTTCCCGTTTGCTCGTAATCAATCCACTGCTTCCACAAATCCTCTGTAATCGTATACAAGAAGTACCCTTGTTTCACTCTAAGCAAGTCGATGTCGTGGTAATCGTTGACGCCGACAATGTAACTATATACCTAGAATGTGTCCTTTACTACAAACTAATCTTCCAAACAAGCAAGCTTTGCGAACGTACTCTGTCAATGATAGAATAGATTGCCCTTTTGTTGGAGCGGAACCAATTTGGAACTGGCAAGTGATGATAATCCTGAATAAGTGGCAAAATTTTTTTCATGGGGAGTGATTCTTATGATACATGCAAACGAATGCTGCCGTGTACAATTTAAGTCTATTTTTAGCTTCTTTCAAAATATTTTATCACTGCGCAGTACATTATTTGACTTATTATAGCTCCATATACCATAAATTCAACTGAAGTCAAAGAAAGCAGACCATATGCGTGTATGCCATTGCTTCGGAGAAGACTTCGGCACTGCTTAGCACAGATTCATGATGAAAACCAAGGCACTCGTGAATGAATCCGCCAAAGTCGGACCACTAAAAGAGTACATATCAATCTTCAAAGTCTGTGACCACAATGCTGAATCCTAGAGGGGACGAAATCGGTAGGCTAGATTGAGACGATTTAGGGGAAGTTCTGGCAATATCTTTGGAGTTCAGCCTGGTGTTCTAAGCGCTACACTTACAAACTTTATTTGGACGGTGGAAAAACGCGCAGATCTGTTTTCAATCGTTAAATGTAGCTTTCGTCCATTGGTTCTCCTTATTTGTGGATAAAGCAGCGAAAACTAGTCTTTGTAGAAATTCAAATAATATCTTACTAGCTGGCTTACCCGGCTCCGCCCGGGCCTGTCAAAACACTGTGATAGAGGTCCCATCCCCATCCCTGTACAAAACCTTTTCCTGTGCCCACTTCTACATGCCAATTCTGCTAATAGTAATCAGCATGCTCGATTACCCCCTGTGCCAACTCCCAGCCCCGCAGGTCAAACTTTACAAAAAATCGATAAAAATCTATAAAATCGACATTGATCGATAACGGTAAGTAGCCTACAATATCGGCCCCGCCCCGAAGTGTATGTGTGCCAAGTTTGGTCCGGATCGGTTAAGAATTGGAATTTCCTATCCGGTGTTGATGATTTATGTATCATCAACCTCAACAATTCTATAATCCTAATAGCTTACGGGTATTCCCCACAGGCTACATTCCCCAACCGCTTATATTTAAGTGCCGAATCACTCACCAGTGAGTGGCACCTATCTTCCAGGGGCCGCGCCAAGCCCGCGGCATCCTATTTCTTGCATATATTTCCTGGACAGTCTGATTGTGCACGGGTCAGCTCCGCCTTACTACCTATATAAGGAGCCCCCGATTGTATTATAGGTTGCTCCCCGGTCCAAAACCGGGTTCGTCTGTGGATAAATCATTATCGACACCACTATCGCCTACGACACTTGGTTCCCACCAAATTGGTGCATCGACCAGTGAAGCTACCTCGTATTCTATCTGCAACCGGAGGAATCGAGGCCACAAGACCCGCGTGGCAGGAAGACAACCAACCGACTATCTGAAAATTCCTGTGTATCCTTTTCGTAAGAGATCCAGGGAGGTGTAAGAAAAATCGGAAGGCTACCACTGACTATCTGAAAATCTTTGTGTATACTTTTCGTAAGAGATCCAAAGAGGTGTAAGAGAAATCAGTAGGAATACCACTGACCATCTGGAAATTTCTGTGTATCCTTTTCGTAAGTGATCCAGAAAGGTGTAAGAAAAATCAGTAGGTAGCACATAATCACACTTATACGTGAAACTTTCTGTGAATCCTTTCCGTAAGCGATCCAGAGGGTGGAACAAATTTTGTGAGTGCAGCACATAACCACATAAGACCGTGAAACTTTCTGTGAATCCTTTTCGTAAGTGATCCAGAGAGCGGAACAAAATTTTGTGGGTGCAATTTTCCAATCAATCTCATAGATTTCTCGCGAATCCTATCCAAGGACCGGAGATCAATACATTGAGATTTGAAAGGAAGGCAACTTGAGTCACAGGAGCTCATTTTGCCAAAAAAGTCAAAGTTCGACCAAGAACTCTTGACTTAAAGGATTGAAACCCAATCCTTATCTGGTCAAGGTCCAAGCCACCTTACCAGTCAGCACAGCGTTCAAGCCAACCAGGCACGCTTGCTCATCAGAGATCAGCACACAGCTGTCTCTATTTAACAACACCACTAACGAGCCTGCAAGTTTGCAAAAACCTCGCTAACCTGTACATTGAAGAAACAGCAAAGCAACCAACTTGCTGTAGGACAAAAAGAAAAGAAATTGGAATTGAATCTCGAAGATGGCCGCACTTCAACTTTTCAAAATCAGGATCAACAATGCCTGCAAGCTCGTAAAATCGCACGAGTCACAAATTAATGACATTGATGTTCCCTTCACATTTCCTGCGATAAAAGAACAATGTGAGCTGTACATTAAAGAGAAAACAGGAGTAATAACTAATCTCCTAAACTCTTTGCATAACGCAATGAAGCTCCAAGAAACGCAAACCAGTGCCGCTATGGAGTACATCAACACACGGAATGATGAGAAAGAAAGAGAAAAGCTAATGACTGAACTCAGCAAGCACTTAGAGCTTGAATCATTTGATCTAGAAGTGGTTGTAGTGGAATGGCAGACTAGGATACAGTTCAGACAGCATGAACTGAGGGAGCAAATGACACTTTTGCATACGCCTGCTCCTAGTATCCCAAGCCAGTCAGTTAGCGAGATAGGAAGAAGCTCAACAACGGAACGAAGTGAACGCCAGATCAATATCCGGAAACCGCTCCTAGAGATTCCTACATTCTCTGGCAACTTCAGAGAGTTCAACAGTTTTTGGACAGTGTTCGATTCACTCATTCACTGTGACGAAGACCTCCCGGATAGCGACAAATTCTTTTTTCTGAAGCAAGCTCCCAAAGGAAAAGCTGCTGCGGCTCTAAACTACATCCCCGTCGTTGGAGACAAGTACAAGACGGCCGTAGACATCCTGAAGAAGCACTTTGACCGGTCTGCCAACATGGCAGATATACTCATCAACGAAATCGAACGACTTCATGGAGCAAAAGACAGTCCCGAAAGCTGCCGAGAAACGTTCGAAGCAATCAATTCACGGATCATCCACTTGGAACAAACTGGAATGAAGATGAGCGCAGACAGGATTTGGCGCAGAATGATTCTGTCCAAATTTCCTGAAGACATCTGCGCGAAGGAAACCGTATGCGGCGATCACTTTAATGTTTCCGTGATTCTAGACGCAATCGACGACATCATCTTTCTTCGGGAAACGACCGCACTAACGATGAAGACACTGCTTCCAAGCACCTCACATACGAGCGGCCATCAGGACACAGATAATGAATCGGAATGGGAAGAGGAGAGAGGAAATCTCGAGCAGTCTCCATTTCCTGCGAGCAGCAATCATCATTTGCATGTCTCTAGGATGCAGCGAAGAATCAACTCAGATCATCGAAAAGCAAATGGAGTACACGTTGCGCGAAGCCCGTCGTATGGAAACGAAGTCTGTAGCTCAAGCAAAGAACTACCCGTCGTGCGCCAAAGCGTACTCCAAATGGCGTCGCAATGATATTCAACGAGGAACATTGGGATTATCAACCCACAACGATACTGATTGACTCCGGCGCCCAGCGAAGCTTCATCAAATCAAAACTTAGTGAAGAGCTCAAGCTGCCTATCAACCAAACGACATCATTCACCACATCAGGAATGGGAGAACTGAAAGAGACATTCAGTTCCAATGAAGTACGAATTACTCTGAAAAGCTTTCACAACGCAAAGAAGCTTAAGAAGATATCAGTGCACAGGAAAGACAAGTTGACTGCCAATCTACATACAGCACATCTCACAGATGCAGATGTTCAGTTCATTTCCAATAAGAACTTAAAGATAGCTCAAGATACGCTCACTCATAAAAGCGTCTTGCCTGAACTCATTATTGGACAAGATCTTCTCAACTTCATCACTGTTCACACCGAAACAGTGCTCAAGCTTCCTTCGGGGCTCGTCTTAACCCCAACCATCTTTGGATATGTCATATCCGGTACAAGCCGTACCAACGTGAGCACAAAGATCGTTGGCACTTTTGGATTTACATCAACGATGCAGGAAGCCTCCAAATCCGCCCCTCACCCTCAACGACACGTCAAATGGCTGACGACGAAGAAAACGGGCACCAATTTCAACGAAAGCAGTACACATGCAATCAACAGGAGAATTCTCCAAGCGCATGCTGAAGTAACATCTCAAAAGACACCGAAGTTGTTACCGAAAAAAAGGAAACGCCGGACAGCTGCTTTCAACCGCGAAGCTAAGGCAGACAGACACCGTTGGCTTGCCAAAGTTCGCTGCATATTAGGCTCTAGTTCCAGCTCCAACACGAGGAGTGCGAATGGAACTCTTGCCAGAACACTTCAACCGACGACACAAGCCAAGACAAAGGGAAGGACATGCCGAAGATGACACATCACGAACATCTGATCACGGAAACGCCGGCTATCACGAAGACAATCACCGACAACGATTCTGTCAACTCAAAATCGACAAGAGCAGATCCGACGAGGAAGAAGAGACGACGACGAAAGGCGAAGCCACACTACGGGACAGCAACGAGCAACCACTACAACTGTTCACCGTAAACTCTCTTCCGTCTATAGCTTCCATTACTGTATCTAAGTCTACACAATTCTGTGCATTTGTTGTTTTTGTGCCTACCCGATTAACGTCTTGCTTGCTCGCCCGGAGTGTTGATGATCAATGAATCATCAACCTCAACAACCAATCTAATAGCTTACACTTATGAACACAGCTATATCTCAATTTCTAAGTACAAATGCTTTTAGGAGGTTTTGATTGTATTTATTTGTTTACATTTCAACAGATTTCGCCTCCTCCTTGCTCGCCCGGAGTGTTGATGATTTATGTATCATCAACCTCAACAATTCTATAATCCTAATAGCTTACGGGTATTCCCCACTGGCTACATTCCCCAACCGCTTATATTTAAGTGCCGAATCACTCACCAGTGAGTGGCACCTATCTTCCAGGGGCCGCGCCAAGCCCGCGGCATCCTATTTCTTGCATATATTTCCTGGACAGTCTGATTGTGCACGGGTCAGCTCCGCCTTACTACCTATATAAGGAGCCCCCGATTGTATTATAGGTTGCTCCCCGGTCCAAAACCGGGTTCGTCTGTGGATAAATTATTATCGACACCACTATCGCCTACGACACTTGGTTCCCACCAAATCCGGAACATACGTACACACATACAGACATACAGACAAACAGTCATTCAGCTTTGCATATAAGATTCAGCAGCAATAGTATTGTATTAGCAGTGCAGGTCATCTGCATAATGATCTCTCTTGAATCCTCTGACGTTGCAAGCGTATTCATTGATATAAATAAAGCAAGAGATGTGCGTGGTGATTGTCGAGAAACTCGATCGATCTTCTATAATTTGTCTATTCTATCTCTCTTACTTGCAAACATAAGGCTCAAGCGCGGCAGCTAAACTTTTTTACATGCTCAAGCAGCTGCCAGAATGAAAAAGGTGCGAAATTGGTAGTAATCTCCTTCTTGAAGTGATTCGCGCGTCGTTCTTCATCGTTTGTTCACAGTTAGCCCTGCTTTTAGTATCTACTCATTGTCAGTATTATTGCCATAGTTATTGACTTTTATTACATTAAAATCTCACACTTTCTTGGTAGTTTATGTTTGAACTAGCGCATCGTCAGCTCCATATGGGACGGATCGGACGCTCGAGCCGAATATTCACTCATGCGACTTGCTGAGACTTATCTTTTCGGCTTTCTCTCACCTACGTCCGAATACTCACTATTTCCTTCCCCCTCAATACCGCGTACAACTTGACAGGTCACCTTCGCAAACTGGCCCTTTAACTATCTCGCTTGTGGTCACCGCATGCTGCCGCTGACCGCCAGATGAAAATAAATGAGCTTTACCGTCCCAGTCTCTGTGACTGCGGGAAAATAATTTGACAATGATTTGCCCAGAAACTGCCGAAAAAAGTATCTTGGTACGTCGCAACTTATTTATAAAAGAGAGATCAGCCTCATACATCCCTCAGGAAGATTTCTACTCGAAGCATTCTTTCACCCACATTCACAAATCAAATCAAGGTATTTAATAAGCCGCCAAAAAAGGTCATTGCGCAGACCGTCAACTTCAAAAAATTTTACACAAAAGATTCAGAAAATATTTGCCCAGCGATGCAGCCCATGGTGATTATTGCCTTACGGCGGCCTTGAATTATACATATGTTCTTCCTCGAAAATGTTTCTACTCCCAGAAATCACCGATTTCACATGAAAAAGCGGAATGAGTGGCTGTTTACAATTCATTCGTAATGGTCGGCATTGCGCAGTGAGTCTTATTCATCACTGTGCGAACGCGGAAGGCATTGGACCAGTGCAAACCACTGCGAAGCAGAGGTGATGTACTGGTTTGTTGATAGAGGTCCGACTACTGATGCTTGAGGTATTGCTCCTCACAACAAATCCAACCAGTCAAAACTACGATTGGGACTACGAGGGCAGTATTTTAAGCAATTTGTTTTAGTGATAAAACTTGAACAACACCCGTGTCTTTGTAAATGAGGCAATTAGCAGGCACTAGACGTTCTGTTTTCATGGACTCAGCAAGCGCGAACAAATGTCACGGGCTGTAGTTTGAAGGAACGCAAAAATTGTGCCAAATGCCGTGTACCTGTTCTACCAGGTACGTAAGGCCCTTTAGCCTTTCCCCCTCCCCTCCGGGTAAGTAAACCGCCAACTCCATTCGTCATTATGGTGCCATTTCTTCAATGAAGCGCTTTGAAATTACCATTATATAAGTCGCGCTCATTGAAACTTTTCAGCAAGGTTTCGCATAATTTATATGTATGTACAATGAATCCCGCCAGAAAGTGAATGCGCTATGGTCGGGCTCACCTTCAAGTCGTGTGTGGGCAATCTTCCGCATGCTTCTCGTATTCGTCTTGTCTCCGCTACGCAATTTTGCATGTGGGTCAGCAGCTAAACCACCATTTATCATGTTAACATCTTTGGAGACAGCTCACAGTATCATCGTTCTCTTCAGAAAAGACTGGCACTGCTTTGTATTCGTCATGTTCATTCATCGCCCACATTGCTGAACCAACTAAGGCAGCGCTTTGCAGACATCTGTCACTGGCCCTGCTGCGAAAATACACCTGAAAAGGCAAAATCGAACAGAAGATGCGCTGTACTATTTTTACCTCTGGAGCAAACAAGGGTGATTTGAGAAATCCGGTTTTAACGTAGCGTTCCCTCAAGTATTGTCCTAGTTTGAATGATTCACGAAAACCAAGCTGAAAACAAAACCATCAAATCCGGGAGTATCAGCTGAGTCGCAGCTTTGATTCTGCTGTATGAGTAGAGGATGGTAGAATGCAAAAGAGGGTGTGCACGTCAGAAACGAAGGTAGTCACTACACATTATTTATGAGAATTGTTGATGACAATTGGTTGCTGTTCGTACTTAATGATTACACGGTGCAGCTGCTTCATGCCACAGGCATTTTGATGATGTTAGCGAGTCATCTATAAAGATGAAAAAATGCCCGAATTAACAAGGTTCTGTGTGGTTACCTTGGTTTTTTTATGTGAAACTGATTGGGAGGCGTTGACCAAACAGTCGTCGGAGTTAAGTGTAAGGTGTGGCACGCTCATCTTAGGGTTCGTACCAATGGATCAAAAGGAGTTGGGGCAAGGTCCAGCACGAGGGTTTTCAAAACGAAGTAGCCCCCTTTGCTTTCGCTAGAGGTTCCTTCATACTACGCCGCAGGACGGGCGTGCGCGGCGTGCGCCGCAGAAATCGCTCTGAAAATATACGTTCACTGCAAGTCTTTTCGCTGGTTGTGTATGTATCTCTACATTCCCTGCACATTCACGTTCATACATACATAACCAGCGAAAAAGCGATGCAGTGAACATATATTTTCAGAGCAATTCCTGCGGCGCACGCCGCGTCCTGCGGCGTAGTATGAAGAAACTCTAAAGGTTTAAAAAGTCCTTTAAACCACCGTATCCGCTCCCTTCCAACCATCCGCGATTCCTTGCGCCGCATCTACATGTATAAGAACTAAGTACAGAATTAAAGTAAAAATAAAATAGAAATAAGAATAAATAAACATAAAGTCAGAGAAGTCAGAGGCTGTAGCGTCAACGAGCAGAATTACTTCAAAGATCGTAGTGAGGTGGTACACACTGATAGTTGAGAAAATGCGGGAAGCAAAAGCTAAACTGAACTAAAAGCATAATTGAAGCTGAACTAAAAATAAAATTTTGAAGGGAGCGAACGCAGACAAGATTGGCGCTAGGCTGCGATATAAAATATAGCGCTTTCTGGAAAAATCAGGGCCTTAAACGGTGGGCTGGTGCAATATAAATTGTTTTTATGCTTTGGTATAGATCCTTGATGGGACATCCGTACGTGATAAAAAAAATCTGAAATTTATGTGAAAGTCACAGAAATATATGCTCTCTGCGATCCATAAGGGAAATCAGGTAACTTAAATTCGCCTTTCAAAATGAGACACATATATTTGTAATTAGCTTCGAACGCTTCCGAATATGCTGTCCCTAGCTGCGCGCATTATTCTGAAGCGAGTTAGAGCTTCTTTTTTCTGCAGGAAATTGAAGTATTATTAACTTTGGAAAGCTGTCTGTAGATGAAAATCTGCCTCAAAATGGTGCTGGGATATCAAGATGATATCAGATTGATTTTTTTGTCATTGACAAAAAACTTGACGCAGTAAATCAGCACTTAGATGGCGATACGTAATACCAGTAGGTCAAAGATCATAACTTATTGTTGTAGAGTGATATTAGGCTGGTAGTAAATGAACCTCTGTTGTATATATCTCTTGTGTTGTTTACAACAATCCTTAGAGGACTATATAAGAGCTTCCTTTTGCGGTAATATTCATTCTTCATTCTTCATTCTTCCATTTCTCCATTCCTGGTCTGTCATTGTACCAGTCGCCGATAAAGCACTGCTGTTATTCGTGTCCCGACTCCACAGAAAGATAGAAGACCACAACAACTGGCGATCAGCAAACGGATCGCGTGGAAAAAGACTACCCGAACCAACCCACCGAACAAGAATTGAAGATGACGACTACATCGACAGCATCACTGGAGCAAATGTTCCAACAGCTAATGGAACAGAACACTGCTCTCATGAAGACCAACCAGGAACTACTACAACGACTGCAACATCCTGCTACCCCACCGACATTAGCCGATTTCTCCGCACTCTCGTCACGAATACCATATTTCACCTATGATCCCGAGAGCGGCTGCACCTTTGAAAACTGGCTACTAAGATTTGAAGAAATTGTTCCTACATCAATGCCAGAGAAAGACCGCTGCTCACTCTTATCCGCGAAACTCGATAACGCCACACACGCCAAATTAAGAGGACATCTGGCACCGAAATTACCATTAGAGCTGTCATTTCAAGAACTCACAAGAATATTGACATCATTGTTTGGAGAGAAGACAACGCTATTTCGACGTCGATGGAACTGTTTGCATGTCGTTAAAGACCCCGCAGAGGATATCGAGTCCTACGCTGCCCGAATCAACAAGATGCTGGTCGACGCCAAAGCTGACGAAATGAGAGGTGACCCGTTAAAATGCCTACTTTTCGTTATGGGATTGCAATCACCGTGCGATTCGCCAATAAGAGCCAGATTACTGAGCAAACTAGATGCCGAAAACGATACATTCAAGCTGCAAGACTTGATTGCCGACTATAACGCCTACCAGTCTGTGCAGAAGGATGCTGCCCTTATCGGATCTGTACCGCCTACGCCCGCTCAAGCTCAAGCCGTCGCTCCTGTCCGTAAGAAGAAGCAACGCCGACCCCAGCCGCAACGTACCCGACGCCCATCTGATAGCAAGGATCCGCCTGGACGTTTCCGCCGTGATGACGCGTGCTATATCTGTGGAAATAAAGGACACTGGGCCAACAACTGCCCGTCAAGGAACAGACCAGTCCGCCGTTCCATGAAGAAAGTTGTGAAGTTGAACGTGCTGAACTCCCACCGTCGCTACGTGAATATCAAGCTGAATAACCTGAACGTGAAGATGCAACTAGACACCGGTGCTGACGTATCGACAATCAACCGCAGGACGTGGATGGAATTAGGCTCACCAACCCTGAAGGCCGCTCCTGCCGAATTGAGAGCTGCAAATGGATCGCTGATCGAGGTGTATGGAGTTCATGAAATGCCGTTCACATGCAATGGATTTGATGGTGAGGGATTATTTTACATTACAAAAGACCTGTGTTTGCTAGGAATGGATGTGCTTCAACAGCTGCCGCCCTTCCGAGATGCTTTGTCTGCTATTTGCTGTGTCGTGGATGCCTCTTCGGTGATGGACTACCGCCTTATGGCTGAGTTTCCAGAAGTTTTCAAAGATGAGTTAGGACATGTCAACAAGTTCAAAGCTCACCTCGTACTAAAGAAGGATGCCACGCCCGTCTTCGTGCCCAAACGAAAGGTTCCGTTTGCCGTAGAACCGCTCGTCAACGCAGAATTGGACCGCCTTGTCGCTATTGGAGTATTGTCACCTGTCGATTACACAGTGGGCTGCTCCTATCGTACCCGTCAAGAAGAAGAATGGAACAGTGCGCATCTGTGCCGACTATTCCACCGGATTAAATGACGCATTGGAGCTGAATCGACACCCCCTACCAACCGCTGAAGACGTTTTTACCAAACTAAATGGAGGAACAGTCTTCACCAATATCGACCTGCGTGACGCTTATCTGCAAGTAGAAATGGACGACGAAAGCAAAGAGTTGCTGACCATTAACACGTCAAGAGGACTTTTCCGCTACAACCGCCTCCCGTTTGGTGTGAAAAGTGCTCCCGGAATCTTTCAATCGCTGATGAGCAACATCACTGCCGACATAAATGGAGCCGTTGCCTATCTGGACGATGTTGTGGTCACAGGAAGGACGCATGAAGAGCATGATGCGAACGTATTCAAGCTGTTCCAACGTCTTCAAGAGTATGGAATGCGTGTTCGCCGTGAAAAGTGCCATTTTGGTAAGTCCAGTATAGTATTTCTCGGATTCATTGTCGATGCCGAAGGAAGACGCCCCGATCCCGAAAGGATTTCTGCCATCGCCCATATGCCGCCACCCCAAGATATAAAGCAGCTCGAATCTTATCTTGGGATGATTTCATTCTATTCGTCTTTCGTGCCAAGAATGCGTTCACTTCGCGGACCACTGGACGCTTTGAAGAAGAAAGACACACCGTTTGTCTGGAGTAAGGAGTGCCAGGAAGCCTTCGCCCGCCTTCGCGATGTCCTGACCTCGGATCTTCTACTGTGCCACTACGACCCTAAGAAGCCGATCATTGTTGCCGCTGACGCAAGCAATTATGGAATCGGAGCCGTGATTTCTCACCGCTATCCGGATGGATCGGAGAAGGTCGTCTCTCACGCAAGCCGTGCCTTGACTGCCGCAGAGAAGAACTACTCACAGATTGAGAAAGAGGGATTGGCCCTAGTTTTTGCCGTCAAGAAATTTCACCGCTACCTTTATGGAAGAAGATTTACCTTGTTAACGGACCATCGCCCTCTACTCACCATCTTCGGGAGCAAGAAAGGAATACCGGCCTATACTGCTAATCGTCTTCAACGGTGGTCATTGACGCTACTGGCCTATGATTTCGACATCAGGTACTGCTCTACGACATCGTTTGGACAGGCCGATGCTCTCTCCCGATTGCTTTCCTGCCGGAGTGCGCCGGATGAAGACGTCATCATGGCTACCATAGAAGCTGATGTCTCCGCCACTTACGAGGAAACACTCGACCAGTTGCCAGTTACCGTGGAAGATGTACGTTCTGCCATGAAAAAAGATGTAGTGTTGATGGAGCTGTTCAACTGCCTACAAACAGGACGTTGGCCAAATGCACTTCCCGGAACGCCGTTGTTCAATTACAGAAGCTTGCAAAGGGAACTGTCTATTCACAACGGATGCATATTCTTCGGATCCAGGATCGTCGTTCCCGTTCTGCTAAGGAGGAAGGTTCTTCGCATGCTGCACGACGGTCACCCTGGACAAACCCGGATGAAGCTGCTTGCTCGCAACTATGTCTACTGGCCTAGTGTAGAAGAGGACGTTAAGAAGACTGTGGAATGTTGCCAGAATTGCCAAGTTGCTGCCAAGAATCCCATAAAAGCTGAACTAACGCCATGGCCGATTGCCAATCGCCCGATGGAACGCCTGCATATCGACTTCGCTGGACCACTTTATGGTCACATGTACCTCATCATCGTGGACG